CACGACGGCTCCGAATCGATGTTAGACCCGATCGCCGCTATGGAGAAGTCGCTGTCACATCACGAGCAACACATGGGTCCGCCCGCCTTCGCCAACGACACCACACCTGTCCAGACACTCAACAGACAACTGTCGCACAACAGCAACTCTGGCGCTGGATGTGTCGGCCCTCAGCAGCAGCAACAACAACAGGGCCCTCCGCCCCCACCTCCCGGCCCCCACTCCAACCATAACAACCACAACAGTCACGGCCCCCACACGCCCAGCACGCCGTCGTCCCAGTCGATGGTAGCGCACGGCGGCCCCCACACCCCCCACACACCGCACACCCCACATACGCCCCACACGCCCAACGGGGCGGGCGGTGTGGGCGGACCTCCCAGTGTGACGACGTCGACGGGTCCGGCCAGCGTCGAGGCGGTCGCTCACAACCAATCAAACAACTCGTCGATGTCTCACACGAACGACTCGTTGGGTGATCTCAACTTCGATCCCGCGGCCATCATCGATGGTGAGGGTCAGGGACAGGAGGTTCTCAATGTAAGTCCACTACCACTTCATTGACGTGTTTTTGCAGAATATTCTGTATTTACATTATACACACAATTCTTTGCATTTGCAGTCTATGTATTGATTTATATGTATATTAATGAGATTTGTCTATCTTTGCGGACAGTTATTACCGGAGAATGGTGTCGATGCGATGGAACTGCTGTCCTATTTAGATACGCCCGACCAGAGCGCCGGCAACTCGTCGTTGAGCACCGGGACGGGTGTCAACGGCTCCACAATCAGTTCCAACAGTTCTTCGGTGAACGACGACTTACTATCACTGTTTGAAACGTAATCTAATTGTCATTACGTTTAAAAATAAAACTCCTTTTTATTGATTCGCTATTAATTCAATGAATACTAATAATTGATATAAACTATTATTAAACTAATCATTAAATTATTGTACAAAACAAACAAAACAAATGATAAATAATTGTTATGTTGTTATGCATTGAACTTTTTTCGCTATAAAAAACATAATTTAAGTTAAAAAAGCTTTTTTTTCGCGACTTATTGTGTATAAAAAGACAATACATTTACTGATTGAATGATAAGCAGCTATACATTGAGAATGGATGGGGAAAGACAGCAAAAACATTACTACTACTATAGCAACAAACAGTGGACTAATTAATCCTAAATAGTGTACTTGCAATCGGTTTTCGAGAAGTATATCATATACTAAACCATACATAGAGTCACAAACAAAAATCAAAGCCATTTCCTAATGTGTTATGTAGTTATCGATAACAAGTGATGCAAACCATTAACGAAAAGCCGACGATTGAGTTGTAGACGATTGTGACGGACAGCCAATACTTTAGTGTCAAACCATAGTCTCTAAACGCGCAAACATTTTGAGCCAAAGATCTAAATATCTATTGATTTGATTATGAAATATAAATATATATATTCTCAGTATATATGAAACAACTGATGAGAACTAGGAGTTTATATTCTCGACAAATATTTAGCAAATTTTTTTAGTGATAATAAGTGAGCGCTTAATAAGTTTCCTAATCGGCACTCCTATCCCACCACCACTTCTACCGCCGTTTGTATCGCTTTTTTACTATTAGTTATGGTTTTTGCTTAACCATTGAGAGAGCGTTTAGAACATTATAAACAGCAATATCTCTATAATACCATTTACTACCGATTAATACCATTGTATACCATATGCAGCTCCACATACACCATACACATACCACACACATAATCAACACTTGTATTATACATGCGATTATAATTATGAACAGATTATCCTGATCATTGTAAAAGTTGCTAACATTGACTACCATTTTGTACAAAGTTAATTCAGCTTCTCTATTTGTCTGCTATTTTGTCGGACAAACGAAATCACTTAAAAACTACGAAAAACTTTTTTCAAACTTTATTATTAATTATTATGAATACTATTAAACTATGATTATTGACGAAAACTCTGTTATCAACTTAAAAGTAAATAATATTTGACAAAACCATTTCTCATCTATTATTATGAATATAATTATGTAATTGTCTTCTAATGTCTTGTGATAGAGTAAAGGGAGGGATAAATACCATTGAAATTCAAACAAAACAAATACACATAAAACACAAATGTTTTTCTAACAAACTCGATGACAATTAGCGGCAACTATTCATTCAAATTCATTGTACAGTTAAACGACTTTTCAAACGCTTTTTCTATACAAATACCTCGAAAAATGAAATGTCAAACGAATAACACATACTAAATATATGTCACGAAAATTCTCGACGCGATTCTTATAATTATAATTATAAGTTGTATTATATTATGATTCTCTTATCACACATTGATTTTGATTTTATTTTTTAGTAAACGCTTTATATATAATTATATTATGTGTATAATTCACTGCCAAACATAAATCACACGAGAATATTCATTTGTTTCAAATTCTGTTTATATTTTACATTCAATTTTATTTTTTATGTTTTAAGACATTTTTATTTACACGTCAAAAGTTTCGCCACAAATGCTACGAAAAATTCAGTAGAAATCACACAAAACAAAGTGAAACACAATTTTTTGGTTAAAACCAAAGGATACACAAAAAACTTGTGTCTATTAGTGTATATGAAAAGGCTGTACATTATTATGCAAATAAAGACAATGCATCCGATTCTGTAAATGTCTGCAATGGGAAGGCATCTGAACGGCCGCCCGGTGTCTCTCTCCGGTGCAACACATTTCTCTGTATAACTATAACATACCGGGGCTTTCAGTGCCTTTTCTCTTCAATTGCTTTTATCTCTGTTTTTATCTCTCGGGATCTAATGATACAAAACAATATATAAAAAACACTTAAAACAACTGCTAAACGAAAACTTTTCAAACAAAAAACGAAACCCTCTTATAGTAAATAATGAAAAAACAAAACAAATTGAAAATAATTATTGAATTATTGTTGTTATATATATATATTTAAAATATAATTAAAAAAGTACTCAAATTCGGTACTCAATTAATTCATTCATTAAAACAACAAAAATCTTTTGATTTTCATGTCATTGTAGTATAGAATTCAATATATTTATAATGAAATAAAAATATTTCATTCAATGAAACAGTTGTGTGCAATTTATTCATACAATTTTTTTTATCAAACACTTGATAAGAAAAGTTAATTCTCTTATCTATTGATTAAATAGTTTTCGTATAACTATTGAAACCGTTTTTTATAACACACTTACCTTTGGCTCGATTGGATTCACACCGGAATCGGACATTCATTTTGCAATCAAAAACTCGTGAGTCATGTGAACAATGTGTAAGAATTTATTTGGAAATAATTTTTTTACTTAAAATATATCATTAATAAAAATCAAATTAAATAAATATCTCATTTAAAAGAATAACATAATAAAAAAGTACTTATAATTTGCAAATAAATCTGCAACAAAACAATTGATTGGGAAAATGACATTCATATTCACAATATTTTGCATTACATTATAATTTATAATTAATTTTTTTGAAATAAAATTAAAGCTCAAATTCAGTGAAAAAAAACTTATATTAATGGTGTATAAAGCGATCAAAAATACTGGAAACAAAAATGCTTTTCTCGCAATCGATTCACACAATAAATAACATATTTATTGCTTATAAAGTGTTTATAATTTGCTTTTTATCGAACACTTGATTCTCAAACAAAAAAGATTATTAATTTATATAATAGTAATATTTTCACAATCAAATTGTCTGCATTTATCTCAAAAATTAGTGTCAATTTTTAGTCCAAATATAGGCTTTTACAACATATTTTGAAAGTGAAAATACATTTCGGCTTTTGTTTTATACATACGGTGTGAACAATGAATGATATGTTCATTAAATATTTATATAAACTGTCAGACAATACAATATAATATTCAATAAATTTGTTAATCTTTTCGTATTTTCACTAAAATCTCTGTTCGCGTTATAACCGATCGGCTAATCAAATGAAAAATAAATAAAATTCTCAATGTTTTCAATGGGTTCTCGCATTCAATAGCATTAGAAAAATAGCGTAAGAATAGACGAATCGATTGACTTTTGTATGTTTTGTAAATGTATTCTCACATCAATTAAACTGATATTTAATTTGCAAAATCAAACTAAATCCCAGTTCAGCGGCGGATAAGTCAACAAAATCATTGTCTCAAAAAGTGGTTGTTTTTGATTCAATTCTTGTCTCATATAATGTACTAATACTTAATGGCATTGCATTCAATCACTCAGTTGTGTTCAGTGTTCACGTCCACCAAACTCCTGGTCCTCATTGAACGCGCCTAAAGATAACAAAAACAAACACATCTTTAGTCAATCAAATAAATCACAAACCATTCCCAACCCAAGTGGACAGACATACCTCTCCGAGCACTTGTAAAGGCGTTTTTCCGGTGGCTTTGGCCACTCGGTGTTCAATCAAATAGAATATGTATTCGTCGTAAAGGAGACGAATCAAGTGAAACGACCCGAAAGAAGAGGCCGACCGGAGGGTCAGGTCTCTCATCACTAGTGAACTAATAGACAAACACAACAATTCATTAATTACTGCAAACCGATCGCCACAGAAGTGGACAACTGGTGACACAAACCTATAAAAACCCCACTTGAAGAAGAACTGTGTGGCCGACCGGACGTCATCATCGGTGAGACAGAGCTCGAGGATCTGCTCGCACCAGACGCCCCACTTGTCAAACGGATTGCTCTCTTGCAGTAAAAGCTGTCGACAAACAAAACGCAAATTAATTTCACATTCAATACCAAAAACTAATAAATAAACAAAAATATTGACAAATGATTGCATACTTTAAAACTCTGCTCAATCTGCTCGACCACCTCATCGTCGCACTGACAGACCCAACTCGCCTGTTCCTGTGAGCGCCAGTAGTTTTGTCATTAATTAAAGTATAAATTAGCATTAGATATGTATTCAGAGGCATTGGATATCTATTTATAAAGTCCTACGAGTTGTTTATGTCAACAAAATACCTGAACGTTCTTGAAGTCGACCCGATTTAAGTCGTTAATCATTTGTTGGATTTGTTGCTGATTTTGAAGGACAGCTCTGGCAGCGGATGACAAGTGATTCAGCGATGTATACCTGCGTAGCGTATGACTGAAGGCGCCGACAGCCGCCACTTTCAACACAACAAACTCGTCTGAAAAACATAAAATCCATACAATTATATAAAACATTAAAACTTTATATTCGTTGAGAAAAAATAATGTAAATATTTTCCAACACAAGCCATCCGTACCGTCGTATCCAACCAACGCGTTAGTCATCCATTGATTGATATTTTTGGCAAAATTCCTGATTTGTTGCGTCAAGTTCTGGGGAATCGGTCTCAAGAGGTTTGGAAGTAATAGAGACGATATGATCGCGTTATACATCGTGTAATCGGTTTGAATGATCCAATCGGCGATCGCTGGGATTGTGCTCTCACTGGACTCGTCGGCCGACGACGTGGTCAGCGCCTGGAGCTGTGATATCGTCATCACATCTGCAAACACACATAAAACACATGAAAATCACTGGACACTCAAGTAGGGCTGTGCGGCCATTATGGTGGACACGAACCATCTTTATTGTCACAATTGTCTGGTCTCTGCCAGAACTGCTGCCAAATGAGTTCCACGGAATTGAACTGAAGATTACCCAAAGCGGTGACAATCTCGTCGTAATGCGATCGATATAATGACGTGAATTTGGAAAATAGTTTCTGCGTTTCGTTGACATTCAGATTGTCCGGCACTTCGGGCCAAACGGTTGGCAGTATAAGCGCTGAATCGCCTGTTTTTTGTCGGATATAACATATCACTCATTAGACTCTTATATAAAGAACTCGTAAAACATTTGCTTCAATACCGAGATAGGAAAGCAAGACTTCAGGTGCGGCCGAATTGACTGGTGTTTGATGACTATTATCGGCCGACGCGCTGACCACCGGTTTGGAGGCTACAGACAAGTCTGCATTTAATCATTTAAGGCTCGACACAATCACTCACAACGCTCGACACTAACCTCCAGAACCAATGGAGTTACCGGTTTTGGCTCTTTTGGTGGGCGGTGTGGACGACTCGGAGCCGCTGATGATTCCGGCGCCGGTGCCGATGTCGTTGAGTCGGGCCAACGACGAGCCGGGTTTGACACGAATGCCGTAATAATGGTATTTGGAATTGCCTGCAAATACACATGTGTGGACGACTCGGAGCCGCTGATGATTCCGGCGCCGGTGCCGATGTCGTTGAGTCGGGCCAACGACGAGCCGGGTTTGACACGAATGCCGTAATAATGGTATTTGGAATTGCCTGCAAATACACAGAAATCGGTCCAAAACTATGGCCTCACAAACGACTCACAATTGTCAGCCAAACCTCTTGTGCCGAGTCTTCGCGTCCGGAGACCAATAAATACGGAACGAATCAATTTGCCGAAAGAGGCCGCGTTCACGGGCTCTATGTTGTGCTGTTGGCAGTGCTGCTGATAATGCGAGTACAGTGTCGAGCGCGGGAGGGATACACCTAATTCATGGTCAAACAGATCATTAACACACTGTTCTAACGGGTTATACGGCATACCCTCTGCGGTCTCATAATTCTCGATAAGCCATTGCACCTGAAAATTGATAGCAAAATCTCCATTAATTCAGTGCTAAATTCCGGACACATTTAGTGCTCAAATGTCAAACCAAAAAACTTCATAACAAATTTAAAATACAAATGTTTCGTAACTAAAAAACTTTCATTCAATAAATAAAACTTAAATTCATAGCAAATACAACACATCATATACAGTATAACAGCAAACCTTAACAAATAGAAAAATACAGAATTCACAGAATAAAGCAAAAAACAGATATAAAAAATGATACAAATTAGGAAAGGGATGCTATATATGATAGTGTGTTAGACATGTTAGTGAGCGTGTGAGAGACAGTTAGACAGATA